TAAAAATGCATGTTGCTTTAATATTTGAGTGCGAAGGAGAGCTACTTATTCTCAAATGAAATAGCCCCTAAAGAAGCTTCCTATGCTGCAACGTGTTTAGCGTACACGTAGGAATGCGCGTTTTCGAGGCCGTACTATTAATATACGTAATACTCTATACGTAATAGTTTCTGCAAGTTACAATGACTATAATAACTACAGCTGTTTTGTTGTAGAAGTATTAATAAATTATCTGAGAGTGAGGTAACTGGCTGAGCTGCCAAATCGTAGTACATGTACAACAGAAGATGGCCGTAAGAACTGACGTAAGAACAACGCTGCTAATAAGCGTTGTCACTTGATCCATAAAGAGAGATAGTTTTAGACTGAATAAATGAACTCACATGTGTTACTGCTGTAAACCATTGTTCTCTAAGAGTTGTTTAGACAGCAAAATCCGATACTACTTAACTGGCGGACGTGTCGTCGACAGGGGCGTAGGATACGATTTTTAATGGAGCAACAAGACAACAACAAAACACGAGATGTGTGAATTATAGTTGGTTACGTAGACCCCATAAAGAAACGTTAATAAACTTGGAGCCTAAATGACGTCCAATAATCCTGGAATCATCGTTAAATTATCAAATAGAAAACACTACCGTCAACAGCAACAGCGGCAAGGCGTCTTGCGACACAATATCCAAGCGCTTCGATCATAAATGGCACAGATTCGAATGCTTATTCTGAATCAGCACAAAGTGAACGCTACATACATTAAAAAATAGTACAATTTGAATAATTTGTTAGCTTTCATTGAGTTTGATATGAGAAGTGAGCAATCTTTAGCTACTTACAAGCTGAAATAGGTAGTACAAGCAGGCAAGTAGTGCAAGCTGGATAGGCCATTACTATCTTTTGCGCTGATGTGACCTAAGTTTCATAGCGGCTCATAAATGGCCCGTGATATCAAGCACGACGCTAAACTAAACATATTGTGTAGCGTTTGTATAAATTTTATTTGAAGTACTGGTAGTTTTGGGTGGAAGATGAAGATACAGTGATAGCCAGCAATAAAAAAGAGATTGCATCAAGAATTTAGATTCAAGATCATTAGAATAATTATTTCTTAAATCAGGTTAGCATGATGCTGACCCAAATCAATGAAATTAAAAAAAATCAATTTGGGTACACATGGGTTCAGCTAAAAAAATTCAGTAGTCGTCCCGCCGAAGCGTAGCGGAGGCGAGAAGGCCAAACAAGTAGAACTAAACCTAACGCTACGCGGCGGCGCTTGGCTAGTATTATATAATAGTACAGCAAAACCTTTCCTACTTGATATGACCCGTGGTCGACTCCTCTATCAGGTATAGCAGAATATCATGTTACATAAGTCGTCTTCTGTAAACGGATCATTGCTACATGTAGAACTAGAAAAACAGTATCAGGCGCCAATATCCACGTATATAAACGAGTTGAGAAAGCATGCCGGCCGAGAGAAGCATAAAATGCAGATGTATTTTCTGTGCGTTTCCAGGTTTGACGTGGAGGCACACAGGCATACTGAAACTGTATTTATGGATTTAAGTATGTAAGTTTTCTGGTCGCATGGATAAGCAATTATTTGCTAAACTATGAAACACCAGGTCATTTAACCATTCTTCACCTAACTGTAGCCGCAATTGCATGTACACTCCACTAATTTCAGCTCCATGTCGGAAATACTTGTGAGAATGCAATGGAGTATCGCACTCTCTAAAAACAGGTAGAATGATGATCATTATCAGATAGATAGATTAATGTCTTTTTGTGTTTCCGTTGAGGGGGGGGGGCACAACAAACTTGTTGGTGGATCATTGTGTCAGACTAAAATTTAGTCCCGACTAGTTATAGTTTTTTGGCACACATATTTTAGGTTGCCAACTTCGAGAACACATACAAATATTATGTGTTCTCGATGTGTCGAATAATGATAAAATAATTTTAAGGCTAGTAGCTGCTGGTTACTAGCATAAAACTAATTAACAGTTTGTCCACGGCCACTTTGTAGTCGTAGGCTACCACACATACACTTCCTGTCTTCAAAATTTCGTAGCATGTTTGTCATTTGAGTAATATCAAGTTTACTCCACTGGGAACGGACTTAGTAGACCTGAATTATATCATGTACGACAGGATTTCAGGCTCTGAAGGTTCATTTGGGAGAGGATTTACTATACGGTACATTAGTGGGCCATATCTTCTGTCGATACATGACGCGCACATCTAAAACACTACTCTACATACTTTCTGTCGGTGACTCCATCTGTAGCACAAATACGCACTTATCACTGGACAAAATTCTGCCGAGCGAAGCGAAAGCGCCCCACCCATTGGCCAAATATACAACTGCTGCCTAGCGCAGCGGGGAGGCCCAACACGGCAACCTTACGGGACCGAAGGGCCAGCGTACTAACTTACCATTCAAGTAGTGCAGCGAGGCGAAGCGGAGGCATAGCACAGTAGTTATAATGCATGCGCCAACGCCGCGAAGTGGCGGCGTTCGGCTAGTGTACATGTATTAAAGGGAGTCGACTTTTCACAGCGACTCGGCCAAATCATTTGACGTATTAAAACGTAAGTCACCTCTGGAGGTAGCATATTTATAGCTTTGATAGAGACTCAGCAGGCCTGCTTACAAAGTATTTTAAATACAGACCTCCCATGCCACCAGTGATGGCAGTTACGAGCTGATAATAAATTTGCATGTAAGGATCACTGGATTTTTTTTACCCGAGGTAGCTAACCCGCTTTTTTATTTGAAATTTAAATGCGAATCCCCCGGGCACCTGGGTCCGGGTCCCCAATTAAATTCACATGCAAATCTATGCTTGTCACATAATTCCTTGTGCATATTCTTGCGCGAAATTGTACAAACCTAGCCAGCGCTGCAGCTGGTGTTTTGTCCAGTCTAGTCGGCCGCCGCCGCTACGCGGCGGAGTGGCATGGTCTGTTGGAGATGAGGTGGCCTCAAATTTGAAGTGCTTCTTAATATTGCGTGCTTTGTGAGCGTCGTACACCCCAGCAGGTCTTGGCTTCGTGTACTTAGCCACTTACCATTCCGTAGTCTTATGGGGACCCGTACAATATTGTGATTTGGTACGCTTCCGCTACTCCGTACTTCAGGTTGATTGCCATGTTCTTCCATGGTCCGCGCTCTTCCGTGTCCTTTCTGGCTTCGTGGTTACCTGCTCACCGCTGGCCCACGCTGCTTAGTGGGTATGCGCTCTCTCTTTTGTGCTCATGCTCTTAAGTACGATCTCTTTCGTGGCTGCTAACTATTTCCTGATCTCAAACATTTACTTGGGCTACAGGATTCATGGTACATAGACTTTTGTTGTCGCTGACCTCCCATCACCGGTATTCTAGCGGAATGGTGCTATTCTGTGGTTTAATTCCTCCACGTTGTTGTGGTGATCCGTCGCACGTGTATCGTTCTATCGTAGTGAGACTCCATTAACGAGTTATCGCGGTCTCGTGGTGTGGTTTGTCCGTCCATGCTATCGTGCTCGCGCTGGGTAAAAGCGTTGCCCGTGAGTTCATGTTCTTCCGTGGTATCATACACCGCGGTCTGCCTTCATGCTCTACCGAGGAGTTATTCCGTGACTTTCGTGTACGGACTCTTGTCAATGATATCGTATGCTACTGTAGTATCGTGCTCCGCATCTTGGTCATTTCCAGTCCATGGCTCCCGTGGCTACGTGCTCTTCGGTGTTTCTGTACCTCTCCGATACACTGGGGTATCATAGTAGGGCTACGTCGTCTGTGGTAACACGTTCTACCGTGGCATCGCTCTCTGTGCTCTCCCATGGCTACGTGCATTCATGTAATTCGTGACTGGGTGTTGTTCTGTGGTCCCGCGTCTTCACTGGTTGAGCCGTTTTCCATGTTCGTGTCCTTCCGTGATTCCATCTCATCGTGTACCCTATTTAAAGTGTGTTTACGTGTTTATTGTATGGCACATTCCGTTCTGGTAAGCTCGCATTTCCCACTGCGCTAGCAGGTGTTATTGAGCTCGCAAACTACGCGCACAAGGTCAACATTTAGTTTGCCGAATGTAACAACTTTGTTCTTACCCAATCAGCTCTTAGACTGGTGTTGCTTTCTGTAGTGACAACACGGCCTATGCTTGTTCAAAATGTACTTCATTTTCTTAACAGCAAATTAAAGTATGCTATCTCACTGACCTAGCACGGTTAATTAAGAATGTGTTTCACCCAATCCAATTAAATTAATTAATATTTAACTTCAAACAATAAGCGTGGTTAGTAGAATAAATATTTTTAAAACTTGTCGAGGTATGCATATTCAGCAAGTTCGCATGGTCCACAATATTGTGTTAAATTTTACGTCTCCGTGTGACTCCTTTAACTCAATAAAGGCCGTATTCTGTATTTGACCAAAGAAGGAATATTGCAGATTTCTATATGCTGAAAGGTTAGAAGCAAGAAGGTAAAAGGAGATTCCCCGCATATAACTGTTTGTATTGGTGAGAGAGGGGCTTTTATCATAACGGATTGGAGTTGGGGAGATAGACGGGCTTTTTCCTGCAACCATAGAAAAGGCTGTATAAATGAGTGACAGGTTTTGAAATCTTATCATAAGCCCTTTATCGCATTTCCTGCCTCACCTTTCACGCCACTCATTTCGAGATGACGGACTGGATCGACCCCAAGGAGTTCAAGTGCTTGTGGAGCTCTCTCGTCAAGGCGGGGTGGTGTGCAAGACGCCCTTCAGGCCTCAGCTCAGACCATACATACGTCTAGATGGGTGTTAAAGGCAAGCTACGCCAGGACAAAGTCGGTATTGACTATTTCATCGGTATGCTTGGTGGTTTGCGATTGTACAAAATGGTTGACTAACTATTTGTAAATGTTTTAGGGTCTAAGGCGCTTTGGGTATACGCAATACAGGAAGGCTTGATACCTCTACCTCCACCTCCACCTTGTCCAATTGGTTCGATGCCTGCAATGAAGCCTCCGATGGGGAAACTAGCAGCGTATGCTGCCGTTCGACGACGCCAGCCTGAGCCGCCAACACCTGAGCTAGAAATTCGTGCCGACGCCGCTAATCCGGCTGCTACAGAAGAAGAAGCTACGGTGGCGACCGCTAATATGGTTGCTACAGAACAAGCGGTTACGGTGGGAACCCCTATTATGGCTGCTACGGAACAAGGCGCTAATAACGCTGTTGATACGAGCCCAATTGCTATTGAGGATACAAATGCTGGTGGTGGCGCTGCAAGTCTCGAGGAGGAACTAAAGACTGACGACGAACTGGGTCTAGAGGCATGTGATAGAGATGACGACGAACCGGGTCTAGATGAATTTGATCGAGGTACCTTTATGGAAGCCTTCCGTGCTGAGAATCGCTTTGGTCCAGTTGACGTAGATGATGTCAATATTGGTGACGAGTCGTTCCTATGCAGTGCCGAGTCAGATGACGAGGATTCGGTTTTGACGAGCACGAAATCGATGAAGAGGAATACGTGGATGACGTGGAGTCAGACCCGAAATTTGAGGACGCAAGTCAGAATTTTCGGCAAGACATGAGAGAAATGCGGGAGCTTGCTAGTTCATGGTAGGAATTATACGACCAAGACCCCTGTGGTAAGTCTGTGATATACAGAATAAGAGTTATCAACGTCTAACTAGTTCTGTATTATACTTGGCACAGCCGATCTATATATAACTGGACGGAGCTGTTTTGTATGACGGTAGATGGGGAACCACGAAATCTGTTGCTGCTTCTGCTGAGTCACCGATTGGAATGATCTTTTACTTCTTGCCCAATTCATTGTGGAAGAAATTACGTTGGAGTCTGAAGCCTATCGGAGAAAACGCATTCCAGCGATCGCACATCAGACCCGTGAGCGACAGCTTGCAGCCCAAGCTAAAGACCCTAAGAAATTCGTGGAAGCCCTAGAAGACATCATTGACAAGCCTAAAAGACAGAAGCCAATTCGAGAGCACGAGATTTTGCACGTAATTGGGCTGTTGGTGGCGCGTACGCTGTGTGGACATAAGGACGGCTTGTCAAAGCATTGAGCTACCAGTGAAGAAGGTGCCGTTCCTCGGGAAACCTTTGGAAGGTACATGAAGCGCGAGAGATTCAGAACAATAACTCGTTTCCTCTATTTTACAAGCACTACCAGCGGAGATACGACCACTGACAGGGCGTTCCAGATCCTCCCCATTTTGCAGGTGATCGAGAAAACGTTTCGTCGCGGATATCGTCTCGGTCCACGTGTAAGCTTCGACAAGGGAACAATCCCTAATCGAAGTCAATACAATCCTATACGGACTTACAACAAGGAGAAGTCCCACAAGTATGGGACCAAGTGCTACATGACTTGCTGTGCCGTCAGTGGGTACTGCGCAAGGTTCGTATTGTGTTCAGCTTTCGACAGAATACGAAATCTTGTATTTTGTCATAATCTGTCTCAATTTCGTTTGCTAACTACCAATGCTACCATTTTTGTTATTCTGAATTCATCGTGGTGTGGTGTGCTTCGTATGCGTCATTCACTCCAGTTCGTTGTGGCTCCGTGTACTTAACCACATACAATTCCGTAGTCCCATGTGACCCCGTACACTATCGTGATTTGGTACGCTTCCACTGCCCCGTACTACCTGTTGGAATGTCATGCTCTTCACTGGCCCGTGCTCTTCCGTGTTCCTCCTGGCTTCGTGGCCCACGCTGCTTAGTGGATACGTGCTCTCTCTTTTAGGTTCATGCTCTTTAGTACGGCCTATTCGTGGCTGCTAACTATTTCCTGCTTTCAAACGCTTACGTGGGTTGCAGTGGTTTTCTGGTACATAATATTTCGTGGCCGTTGGCCTCCCATCACTGGTACTTTAGCCGAAGGGTGCTATTCCGTGGTTTATTTTCTCCACGTAGTCGGGTTGTTCCGTCGCCCGTGTATGGTGCTCTCCTGGTGAGGTTCCATCGACCACGCTATCACGCTATCGTGCAATCGCGGTGTGGTAATGATGTCTATGATATTGGGCTCGCATAGTGCATCTGTGTTGTCCGTGTTATCGTGTTCTACAATGGCATCGTGCTCCACGGTGTGCATTCGTGGTCACATGCCTTGTAAGCCGGAATCGGCGGGAAAGAGGTTTATACTCGCTTAGGATCGATGAAAGTGCTAACATGAGAAGGATCTATCTTGTAATAGTTTGCGTATCTGGTAACCTCCAATTGGTTAGCATAAGCCTCATCGATATCGAGGAGTCTCCAATATACTTTTTTCAGCTCTCCTAAATACACCGCCGAACAGCAACTTTTCGTACTCTGAGACGGCAACATTTCTATTGTGCGACTCTTAACGTACAAAACTGGTAATGTTGAAATGCGCATATGTTATTATCCCCAACACTGTTGCCCTTAAAAGAGGTTCATTTTAATTACTTGAAGTACACTCCGCGCCACATTAGATCACGTACCCACGTCGGTGGCTGTAGCTCACTCAATTTTTAGAGTTTGGGTGTATTATTTAGATATGTTGCTCCTATTATCGCACAGAATAGGCTACACGTGCTAACGATTGCGCTTTTGCAGTTTACACCAGGGCTCCAATACAAATGCTGGACGTAAATAAAATAAAAAAAAGACGACCGTCTTGGATTCTACGTGACAAACAACCTCCAAGACGGAATTCACAAGTGACATTTCACATCGGACAACCTTGTGGCCATATTTAAAAGGACAAAAACACCCGGTTCAACGGTCTTGCTTCTGTCCTTGTCTGCAAAAAAAAGTATCACTCTTTTTTTGTAAGAAAACTACTGTACTGTAGTAAATCTTCGCTTGCTCCGCTTTTTTAGCGTTTAATATCAGTACTGTGTGTATTGCCCAGCTTGTTCTTGAGCCCAAGACGTAAAAAGCAACTTGTTGTAAGAAGCTGATATTGCTGTTGCCATCCAGCTCGGAAGCACCCTCAGTGGGCGAGTCTAGCACGCGCTTCAAGAGCCATTTGTTCCCAGCTTGCGTAATAAAGGTTTGTGCTGCAGACGGTGAAGGCAGTGGCGATGCCCGTTCCGAAGCCGATCCAGAGTCCTTCGATGCCAATTCCAAAGTGGAACGACAGTAAGGCTCCCAGTGGGATGCCAATGACGTAGAAGGCAAGAGCATTCGTCTTCGCCGCCGTATCCTGCCATCCTGCTCCCTTGTAGATGCCTTGGATAACGCAGTTGAGGGAGTCGATAATTTCGTACGGAACCATCACAAGAAGCGCATCGGAAGCGCGTTGGATCGCGACAGGATCATTGATCACAAGGACAGGGATCTGATGACGGAGCAAATACACGAGGCCAGCGAAGAAACAAGAGAGCACAAAGACGGTACTAAGTGTAGTGCGGCTAATAACTCGCGCCTTCTTTGGGTGATTCGCCCCCAGACAGTTCCCGACGCGGATGTTACTGGAGACCGAGACGCCCATAAACACCGTGTAAATGGACGAAGCCACATTCATGAGCACCGCATGAGCACTCACTGCCACGACGCCATCCGGTAAGTTACCTGCCAGCACTGCGAGCACCTCGTACGCCCACCATTCCATCGCCATCATCGCCAAGCCCGGTAGACCCAATCGCGTAAACAAGGGCACGAGAGCCCACGCTTCTTTCAGCTTCCAGCCAGTCCACCACCTCGTGTGGTTGCCACTAGCAATGAAGTACGGCACAAGACACAGTTGCATGTCCACGTACCCACAAAGTCCTTGAACAACGCAGCTTCGGTGGAAGCCCAGCCGGCGTCCAGTACGTGAGCATATATCCGCCAAAATACATTGATAACCGTCCCTACTAAACGCAAAATAATACCATTGGCCTCACGACATTTTGAGCTTGCAACAGTTTGCGCAACATTTCGTAGATGAATAGAAACGGGACGCCAAAGACCGTCACTCTGGAAAACTCGCCCGCTAGTCTCGCCACCTCTGGGTCTTGTCCACTGAGCTCCAAGAAGAACTCGGCGTGCCAGTTCATGAGGAACACAGGGACCAAACACGCCCCCACTACGATGAGGGCCGATTGCAAGTACAGTCCCAGTTTATCTAACTTCCCAGCTCCATACGCTTGCGAGCACAAGGTATCGAGCGCCGAGGTGAGGCCGAAGCCAATGGAGAGCGCCGATACATTGGTGAACATGGTCGAGAGTGTCGCTGCTGCCACATAACGCTTCGTGTCGGGCGACTCGATGTGTCCTACCAGTACAATACACACGAGGCCAGGAAGATACTCGAGGGTGTAGGTGATGACGACGGGGTAAGCGAGCGCCATGGTCTTCCAGAACTCGTCAATGGCTACGGGTTCGGGTTCTTTGTCTTGTTCGTGGGTTAATTCCTGCACCAGGGACGCAGCGTCGCTCTCCGTCTCGTAGTCGCGTATCTTAACCACATCCAACGAAGCTGTGTACGTGGGACTGGCGGCCGGGAAGCTCGTGCCGCGAGCGATGATGGCAGGTACGAACTCAACGTCCACATCGCAGTCGTTGATGAGTAGCGACGTCTGCTCTGAGTCGTTCGCCATGGCTGCTTGAGACTCAACTTGAGTTAGAGAGAGCGCAACGGCTTCCTTCTGCTGATGAGCAACTTGTATTTTGGAAGAATGTGCACCACACCACGGAAACTATTCCATTATGGTAATCTTGTTTACAAAACGGTGGAAATCTTGTTTCTTGTCGTATTAACATGTACTGTAATATTTATTTCAATGTAGCACCGTTTTGTAAACAAGGGCGCCAGGATGAACTCAGAAATTTGGTGCTAAGCGTTCAAATCGAATTGCAAGAGTATGATATGCCGAGGGCCACCGATTGTTGGCAACTATTTATGGCAATGGCGCCGAGTTTGTATGTGGGAGATACATTGTACAGTATTTTGAGAGTTGGGCTTTGGTCGAAAAAAGTAAAAAGGCCTGAAATGCATATCGAATAAAAAGAAGAGTGTCAGATGCAGGAGTCCCGAATTTTTTTTTGGACAAATGCATTTGACTTTATAATTACAATGATTAATTCTTGTCCCGATAGAATAAATAACAAATTCCTTGCGATATTTTGTATGCTTTACAGCACTATGTAAAATTCGCTGGCATATTGACAGCTACTCCGGTCCGCTGTCTTGTACTACGTAGTAGAAACAGTAAATTGGTCGCTAAACACTGTTTTGAGATCCATAGTTGCTCGTTAGCAGTACATCGCGCAACGAAGATGCGGATTCGATTACTCGTCCAGTACAATACATGTAGTCGTTTTGTTAGTCATCATAGCTCAGCTTTGGCGATTTTTATTAATAAAACAACCAAGAACGATAGATCTGGGTGCACTCAGTATCCAACCTGGATGAACTTTGTCCTAGAACTTTGAGCCGCGGCTATTTAGTACTGCAAACATGC